CCTTGTCTCTCAAAAAAAAAAAAAAAAAAAAAAAAACTTTCACAAGGCTAGTAAATGATTTTCTTCTATTTCAGGAATATTATTTTGATTATTATTATTTTTTTTTTTGGAAATGGAGTCTCACTCCGTTGCTCAGGCTGGAGTGCAGTGGCGCTGTCTTGGCTTACTGCAGCCTTTGTCTCCTGGGTTCAGGCAATTCTCCTGCCTCAGCGTCTCGAGTAGCTGGGACTACAGGTGCACACCATCATGCCCAGCTAATTTTTGTATTTTTATTAGAGACGGGGTTTCAGCATGTTGGCCAGGCTGGTCTCGAACTCCCGACCTCAATGATCCACCTACCGCAGCCTCCCAAAGTGCTGGGATTCTAGGTGTGAGCCACCATGCCTGGCCTGTGTTGATTTTAAATTACTGATTCTAAATAGGAGGTGCACATCAGAATCCTCTGTGGACCTTGCAAGAAATGTATATGTGGGAGGCCTCTTCCCTGAAGATTCTGATCCATGGGTCAGGGGTGGCCTAGGCCAGGAAGGTTTCACTTTTTTCCCCAATTTTAAGGTATTATTTACATATGGTAAAATTCATCTTTTTAAACCTATAGTTCTGCAAGTTTTGACAAGCACATACATTCATGTAATTAGCACCAAAACCAAGAAGCAGAACAGTTCCCATCACCCCTAAATTTTCCCCATGTCCTTTGTAGTCCCCCCTCCCCTTCCCTCAGCCCCTGGCCACCCCAGGTCTGTTTTCTGGCCTTACAATTTTGCCTTTCTCAGAATGTCATTTAGGAGTCACATGGTAATTGACCTTTCTACCCTGGTTTAACTTTACTTAGTACACTTGGTCAAGACTCATTCATTCTTTTGTTCATTCCTGTTTACTGCTGAGTTTATCCATTCACCTGTTGAAGGGCTGTCTCCAGTTTTTGGTGATTCTGAACTTCTGAGAGTACAAGGGGGCATTACTAATATGTTGGGACAACAGGTGTAACTTGAAATTGTCCCAGGTAACTGGGACACTTTATATCCTGTACAAGGTATATCCTGTAGAGAGAGCAGTGTCCTTTGGACATTCCAGACAATGTAGTCAGTGTTCACCTGTTGATCTGAAATGTGAAGCGACATATTTGAACTGAAATGTGAGATAACAGACCCATTTTAAACAAATTCCTGGAAATGTTGTATCATTTGGCTATTTTTCTTTTCTCATTAGAATTTTCAGGCTTTTAAAAATGGCCTTTTGCAAAATTTACTGCTGTTGGCTTTTTAAAAAATAAAATGAG